ATTATATATATAATTATATATAATTATATAACTATAATATAATATATAATATATATATTTTATAAATATAATTATATAATTATATAATTATATAAATATAATTGTATATATAAACACATAATAATATATTAATACATATAAATAATAATAATAATAATAATAAATATATACACAGAGCTCAGAGCCAGACTGGAATTTTGGAGCTTCCAGAACCAGACTGGAATTTTGGGGCTTTCAGACCCCAAGTAGAATTTTGGGGCTTTCAGAGCCCAACTGGAATTTTGGGGCTTCCAGAATCAGACTGGAATTTTGGAGCTTCCAGAACCCAACTGGAATTTTGGGGCTTCCAGAACCCAACTGGAATTTTGGGGTTTTCAGAGCCCAACTGGAATTTTGGGGCTTCCAGAACCCAACTGGAATTTTGGAGATTCCAGAACCCAACTGGAATTTTGGGGATTTCTGCCCCCGGCGATTTCTGGGGCACACGGGGCAGCTCCAGCCCAGCCCAGCTGCCCCATCTCCATTTCCACCCCATTTTTAGAGCGGAGCTGATGCCGCGCGTCCCCTGGGATCACCCAGGAGCTCGTTCTGGGGTTTTTGGGGGGTCACGGGGGGTCACATCCCGTTTTTGGGGCGCGGACCTGCCTGGGCTGCCATCATGAGGGCCGTGTTGCCATCGTTGTCCTGCTGGTTGATGTTGATGTAGGGACACTTCTGCATCAGCGGCACGATGTCCACGAAGCCCTTGGAGCAGGCCACCATCAGCCCGTTCTGCCCAGGGGAACAAGGATTTCATTAAAAAAATCTGGATTTTCGTCCGGTATCGATACCCAAATGTGGCAGACAAAAACTCTCCAAGTGTTTAAAGTTAGAAAGTGATTTATTAAAAAATATGGATATTGATCTGGTACTGATATCCAACTGTGAGGGATAAAAGCTCTCCAAGAGTTTAAAGTTAGAAAGTGATTTATTAACAAATATGGATATTGATCTGGTACTGATATCCAACTGTGAGGGATAAAAGCTCTCCAAGAGTTTAAAGTTAGAAAGTGATTTATTAAAAAATATGGACATTGATCTGGTATCGGTACCCAACTTTGTGAGGGACAAAAATTCCCAAACAGTTTAAAGTTAGAAAGTGATTTGTTAAAAATACAGATATTGATCTGGTATCGGTACCCAACTACAAGGGACAAAAACTCTCTAAGGGTTTAAAGTTAGAAAGTGATTTATTAAAAATATGGATATTGATCTGGTATCGGTACCCAACTGCAAGGGACAAAAACTCTCTAAGGGTTTAAAGTTAGAAAGTGATTTATTAAAAATACGGATATTGATCTGGAATCGGTATCCAACTGTGACAGAAAAAAATGCTCCTAAAGTTTAAAGTTAAAAAGTTAAAAAATATGGATTTTGATCTGGTATCGGTACCCAACTGTGAAGGACAAAAACTCTCTAAGAATTTAAAGTTACAAAGTTTGTGTTTACAAAGCTCCTGCTCTGAATAATTAAAGAAATCTGGATATTGATCCAGTACCGATATCCAACTGTGAGGGACAAAAACTCTCGAACATTTTAAAGTTAGAAAGCGATTTATTAAAAATATGGATATTGATCTGGTATCGATACCCAACTGCCCCACTTTTATCAGGTTTAGATCAACCCCAGGACCCCCATCGCACCCTCCTGCCCCACTTTTACCAGTTTGGATCGACCCCAGGACCCCCACCCCACTCCCTGCCCCACTTTTAGCAGGTTTGGATCAATCCCAGTTTGGATCAATCCCAGTTTGGATCAACCCCAGTTTGGATCAAACCCAGGACCCCCATCCCATCCTCCTGCCCACCCTTCAGCAGGTTTGGATCAATCCCAGCTTAGATCGACTCCAGGACCCCCATCCCACTCCCTGCCCCATTTCAGCCTCCCCCAGCCCCGGGGATTTTTCAACCCCGCAGGGCACCCCC